TGTGGGAACTGTTTCCCATAGTGCAGCGGTTCTCAAGCTTTTGGGACTCTGGAGCCCTTTACATGCGTAAAAATGTACACGGAGCCCCAGCGGTCCACTGATTGTATGTGTTGTACCTATCGATGTTTCCAGTTTGTCAACCTCACGGAGCCCCTGGAGATATCTTGCAGAGCCCTGGAGTCCCATGGAGCACAGTTTGAGAAACACTGCGCGTAGTGGACCCATGGAGCAGTTTGAGAAACACTGCGCGTAGTGGATTCTGACCTGTGTGAAGGACCTCCATCCCCTGAGATGCCAAGGAAGTCCCGTCGGGCCCGATGGAAGGAGGGTAGGGCTTGGCTCCAGACCCATCTGGTGGGGGAGATTGTCCCCGTTGAGGAACTGTCGCAGGCAGGAGATGCCTCCTCCGAAGAAGAGGGTACCCCAACAGTCCCTGGGCATCCCTCGACAGCGGGCCTCCTCCTGGAGATGGATTTACAATATTTAACTAGCTCATATGATTTTATCCAAGGGCAAAAGGATGATGAAACTCTGAGGAAGGCATACTCTCAGATCGCAGTTACTGATGTGGTCATTATCCTGGAGACCCTGTCCTCCCAGTTTCCCCACTTCGAACTCCAAAAGGACCTACTTTATCGAGTAGACAAGGAACTCGCTACTGGGGAAGGCAGATGCCAGCTCTTGGTACCTCTAGTGCTCCGATGCCCCGACTTCTCCCAACCATTCATCTTGCATACGGATGCTTCAACAGTCGGTTTGGGGGCAGTGTTGTCCCAGAATTTCCAGGGAGTGGAACATCCTATCCTGTACCTAAGCAAAAAACTGCACCTCCGGGAAACCAAATATTCGACAGTGGAATGAGAATGTCTAGCTATTCGCAGGGCAGTGGTAGCATTGCGCTACTACCGATTGGGAGCCCCATTTCACCTCATCACGGACCATGCACCATTAAAATGGCTGCAAGAGATGAACGACACAAATCCCTGAATAACATGGTGGTATCTCGCACTGCAGCCGTATGCCTTGACGGTGGAGCACCGACCAGACTCCCACCATAGGAATGCAGACTTCTTCTCCAGGGCAGTTGCAGAGGTGGTTTGTGGGGATACCCCACCCGAACCTCTCTGAGGGGGGAGGAGTGTGATGAGGTGGACAGAGCCCCATCATCCACTGGACGCCGTTCAGCACCCTGGCCAGCAGCAGGGACAGTGGAGAGGGCCTCCAAGCAGGGCAGAAGGGCAGCTAGCCCTGCAGCCAATCAGAGTTCGGCAGCCTGGTATATAAGGAGCTGCTGAGTAACAGTCAGTTAGTTCCTTCCTGGAGCTCAATGTGGTCAGAACTCTGGGCTGGCTGGGAGCATCAGCACTTGGGCCAGCTCTGAATGGGAGCTGGACCTTTTTAATGAACCAAGGCTAGATCCTACAACATGGAAGAACCCCGGGCAAGGGGGGAACCCTGGACCTCGACCACCAGTTAGACTGTATCTCACCCCGAGTGGGAGAGGTCATTGTTGTGAGCCCCCTTGTAGCCGCTAAGGGGTGCTCGCTGACAGGACTGAACCTGTTAGAGTGTGTCACAAGGAGGAGGGAGAAAAATTGTTCTCCTTGACCTCTGATGAAAGGACAAGGAGCAATGGCCTGGGTAGGTTTAGGTTGAACATTAGGACAAACTTCCTAATTGGCAGGATGGTTAAACACTGGAATGAATTGCTTTGGGAGGTTATGGAATCTCCATCATTGGAGATATTAAGAGCAGGTTAGATAGACATCTATCAGGGATGGTCTATGGTTTGTGGTCCTGCTGTGAGTGCAGGGGACTTGATGATCTCTCAAGGTCCCTTTCAGTTCTAGGATTCTATGATTCTGTCATTCTAAGACTGGACCTTTAAAGGTTAAAAGCCTGCAATTCTGCACAAAAAATATCCGTTCTAGTTCTTTCATGATGTTGACTGTGGATGAAGTCCAGGCCAGAAGGGATATGTGTTCTGTGGCAAGTTAGCAGCTGTCTCTGTGTGTTAATTTACTTATGGAATTTTTAAAGTCATGGTTATAAGAGTTTGTTGGACTTCTCTCTGTTTTAGGCCCACATGCAGGAAGTAAGTGGGGATATCAGCCCCAGCCTGGGCTGGCCAGAGCAGGCTTACTTGGTACACCATCCACTCCAGCTTACGTCATGAAATGGATTTTAACTTTTTACCCATGGCAACTCATCACCTAATACATGTGTTAGTCCCTAAGGTGCCACAGGACTGCTCGTTGATCGGCAACTCATCACCTAATACATTTGTTAGTCCCTAAGGTGCCACAGGACTGCTCGTTGATTTCAAAGGGGGAGGGCGTGTGCCTTCCACTTCTTGGGGCCACCAATATTGCCCCTCGTCAGGCTGGAGCAGCCCAGAAGAATGCCTTAATGTGTGTCCCTGATGTAATATTCGCTGGGCAGTTTGCAATGAGGAATAGCCGGAGTAGTGGGATATCCGACTCATGCCTCCTTTCTCCCATGCCCACTCTTCCTGCACCTGACACACCTCCTGTATGGATGCACATGGGGATTGGTGTAGCACTTCCTGAATTGTCTTTGCGCCCGCAGGAAAAGTCCCCTTGCTGGGATATTCTCAAGGGAGGGGGACTTCATGGCTGTTCTGCAACCCCATTTACACTGGCTATTTTTGCTTATCAGGATTACTTAACCAGGATGAATTCTCTAATCCCTGCTGTAAACATTTTTTCCTTCACTTTCTCTGCACTGGTGTGCTCTATTCTGGTGCTGCACGCTCACCGCAACAGCTAGAAAACAATCAGAGCTAGCAAACGTGATATGAAACAAGACAAATCCCCAGTGAAGGTCAGTGCACCCCTGTGATCCATTTGTCATCATAAACACCTTGCCTCAGACCCGAAAGCACCACTACGGTGCAGTATCATCTAGCCAGAGTGAGAGGGAGCATCACTGCACCTGGCCATGCCTGTCTAACTTTCTTATGCCAACCCCAGTGAGACGTGGCATAATAACGCACAATGCGGTAAAGCAGGGCACTCCGTCTAAAAGAGCAGAGTGTGTGGAGCAGCCCCAATTTCAGGCAGTCCTACGTGGAGACATCTTCTTAAATTAAAGGCCAACGGGCTGTCTATTTCTAAGGGGCAAATAGCATAGACCTGGCAAATACAGATGCTGCTCCCTTCACCGTTCCTAAACTCTGCTTTCCCTAGTCAGATGTAGCTCTAAGCATGGTCACATGTACAGGCTTGTTTAGAGAGAAAGGCACGTGGGCAGCCTGTGTAAAGTAACAGGGACTCCAGACACATTTCTGTAATCCACTATCTATTTGAAAGGGTCTGTCCATCTGTCGGTTTGTTTGTTTGTTCAAAAACTCCTAAACAGTAAGAGCTAGGACCACCAAATTCAGTACACAGCTTCCTCTTCCACCCTATAAAGCAAGGTCAGGGATTGGTTGTGCCAGGGAAATGGGATGTGCCTAGAATGGGATTGTGTCTCATAAAACCGTACAGAAAAGAGACTGAATCACCAGGCCGGTGAAAGGGTCTGGCTGGGGACGTGCCCCCATCTCTGGGGCTGCCCAGCTCCAAGTCTCCCACCCCTCAGGCTGTCTTTAGAGACAGTGGAGGAGGAGGGGACTGAAGCTCCCCTCTTCAATTCATATGGGAACAGTTCTGGTTGTTCCCCTTTCTCAGGGAGTGAGGGGTAAGTGCACAGTTTGCTGCATTCCTCACTCTGGCTGGGGAGTGCAGAGGGCAGGCAAACCTGGACCTGCCTCACCTGGGGGACATGCACCCTTCCCCGGCTGTGTCTGCTGCAGCTGTGCCCCAGCTGTGCCCACTGCACT